ATGTTTCAGACTTAGGTACGATATCCCAGAGATGTTTCTCTTGGCACATCCATCAGATGTTTTCATTGAATGTTCTAGGAACATCCCAATTGATTTTTTTTTAAATTGACATGATTGAACAGTTCAGAAAATTGCGACATTTGAAACATTGAAAAGTTGGTAAAAAATGGAAATCAAAACTGTATTCGTACTTATATACTTGGTCTAAGATACCACCTGGGAAGGATGGGTCTGAACCAACAAACGGACTGTCGGTTCTGTTGTGTGGAAGACGAAACGGCTGAACACATATTATGTTCATGCTCTAGCTTAGAAAGACTAAGGTTCGACACATTTGGCTTTACCAACCTAGAACCTATCGATTTCAGACAAATCTCACCCAATTCAACCATGAACTTTGTAAAAAGATGTGGATTGTACGGTGAACTGTAACCTCTAGGGGTGAGCCACAATAGACCCATCTGGGGTCGCAGTGGAGGGGAGGTGTTCGCCCCACTCACATGGAACCTAACCTAACCTATATACTTATACCTATACCAAAGCCGGCTAATTTCATCGATAACGAATTGAAATAATTTTACTGAATATTCCTCGATAAGATTACCAAAGTAACTGCTCAACTTCATGAACCATGTAATAAACGACAAAATTGAAATATATCTCTTCAGCATATTTATTGCTGAATTTATTTGTTATACCAGCCGATAGATGGCGGTACAACTACGTTACTAACAGCCGTCGGCCCATCGCCAACAAATATGGGCCTCAAACAACTGTTATCATCTTCCATTAGTTATTGGACCGCACCGACTTTATATTTTCGGATTCGGAATGTTACTTTATATCTGGAAACAGGTCGGCCATTTTCAGGATTTCAGATTGAAAATAATTCATACCGTGTCATCCATCACAGTCATCTAACAAAAAACATCCTAAAAGATTCTTTAAGATGTTCCATACCAAGTACCCTGAATGTCTCTGGTACATCCCGTATCATCCCACAAACATTCTGATGGGATGTTTATAGGACATCGCAAATGCTGACGAGGGTGTTGCCAGCAACATTCCAAGAATGTTCCAAGGAAAATAGGGATTTTCCAGAGATGTTCCTATCATTCCATATGGATGTTTCTACGACGTCTTGTGTTATTAGGGCTGGAATACCTTGAAATATTTCTCTTTGATTTTTTTTTCAAAAATTCATCGTATCTTCAGTTAAGATGAACAATGAAGATTTTCCAAGACATACGGACCAGGACACCATAATACAGTGTACAGTACAGTACAGTACAGTGTATAGACACTGTGCTTCAGCGGTCAACTTACTACATCTCTGTTCACATTGCTAAAGAGGTTATCATTCTCTTTCTATAGGACATCGTAGTTATGATAATCCCAACATTCCCAACCTATGAATGACGCTACGGGGTGGCATTGAACTCAATGTGAACAACTGGAAGGGAATAATAGCACAGAGTGTGTCAGGGGCAGCTGCAACAAAGATAGCTTGTGTTACGGTAACCTCTATCTCTTTCACACACGTGTTGTTTATTGGCGGATTGGGGTATACATTATCTTTCATTTAGAAATTGGAATACTTTTTTTTTTTATCTGAACTGACAAAAAAAGTGAAGGATTGAATTTGTTGGGGTGTGAATTGATTGTTGTTGAAAAGGTTTGTGATGTCGAATTAATAAGCAATGGAAATTTATATTGTGTTTCCTCTGGATGCAAAACAAGCAAGACAAAGAGAAATTTTCCTTCATGAGTAAGATGAAAATTGTTCACATTCTAAAAAAACTATTTAGAAAATTTTCAGGATGTGTCTGTGGATGTGTGTGTGAATGTTCATAGTTTGGATTCTGGGGAAGATGTTTTTTATATGGACATTAATTTGCCTACAACCTCCAGCTCCCAAGTTTCAAAGTTCATTGATAATGAAACCCACAAACTGTTTCATTCTAGAAGTTCTATTCTATTGCAAAGATAAGTGAAAACACTGAACTAAGAAGTCAAAAGGAGAATGACAATCTTATGAGGTACTAAAATACATTTTGAAAATTGAATCTACAAGTTCAAATTTTCAAACTATAGAGCTGTACATCATATTGTCTTTTCAGGTTTTGCCTTTGAAGCTTCTCCGGAAAAAAATGGAGGAGATATTCATATATAATGAAACAATTCGTCCAAACATTTTACTTTTATTCACCTCTCATTCGTCTCCTGATAGTGAGATGTATATGGAAAAATATGTTCTTGAAATAGACCCTATATAGGTACTCAATACCATTCAAACCCGTCTTTTCAAATTTTTTTATCGTTTTTCTTTTTCTTCTGATAGTACTGAGACATTGAGCTTCGTTAACCCTGTACAATATGGTACAATAGGCGGCTCGGTGGTCGAGAGCGTGAATGCGCTGAGTTCGTATGGGGACTCCCACCGAGACATAAGTTCGAATCCTAGTTAGGCCATGGGTGTTTGTATATGCTTACCTAACCCCGCACAAGTTTCGACTTATGGGGCGTTTGGTCCAAGTGCTGGGCCCACGAGGTAATGCAACCGCAAAAAAAATATATCGTGACATTTGAATGAGGATATTTAATTTCAATTTTGTGTTCATCTGACTTCCCGATCCTGTTGGAATGAAAATGAAATTTCACTTCGAAGTAAATAAAAAAATCAATGATGATGTTTGAAAGATAATTGATTGCAATATTATTCTTTTTCTTGAATGAATATTTATATTTAATCACTTCTGCTCTCAAATGAAAGCAAAAATCGAGAAAATATTTCAAATAATGCGAGCGCTTCCAATTAGCCAACATAAGATAGAAAGAGATAGGTATCCGTAGCCACTGCGGGTTGCCTGAACAATATTTTTGCCTCACTCATCGTTCACAGAGCATCCCTTCCAGGTGTTTACATTCCAAGGATTATAAACCCTAGAAGGATTGCCAGATCCCGCAAAATCTTCTGCCGTGGTCACGTGATAGGGTATCAGAACTACGTCATCACATTGATCGCAATATGGCCGTCAAATTGGAAAATTATTTTTATTGTATTTATAAAATATCTCAAATAATGAAATTGAGGGACATGAACTAGAATAATCAACTCTGGGTGTAATTGGAAGGTAATCGTTGAATGGTCTCACAGGCTCACAGGTTAGTGATTCAAATAATTATTATGTAATGTAATATTTTTGTTGCACAAATTACGAAAATGCATTTATTATTCATTGAAGTTTTTGGTTGATACTCTCAATAATAATGGGAAACCGAAGAATATAACATGGAAAAAATATGGTCCATTTCATCAACTGATGATAGTGATGATATCAGTAGACTTGGGATCATTGAGAATGCTAAGCAGGTATGTTAAACAAATATTTCTCTTCATAGTATAATTTCATCTTTGCTCTCATGTTTCAGTGAACTAGAAATAGATCTTTGACAGAGGAAGATGTATTGAAAGCTGATGGTTATTAAATATGTAGAGTAGATGAAGCAATAGCAAACACATAATAGGTAGGTATATAAAACTTATGTTTGCAAACATTAGCTCTTGGACAGCCTACATAAAGCATAAAGGTACTTGGCAAGCAGGGATGTCTCAGGATTTTTCAAACATATCTTCCCTATAAACAGGTGGTGTTATTTTTGTTGTATTACTGGTTCATCACAGCTCAGCAATGATCTTTTGAAATTTCAGAAATGAAGACTAAATGTGAGCTGTACAGATCTGAAGTAGAAAATAGAAAAGAAAGAAGAGGGTTTAGAGATAATGTTTAATATTCTGAGTGGATACATTTAAATCTCCATTAATTGTTAATTGAAACCATGTTGCAAGGCTATATTAGAGTATTTTATGGAAAATATGCATTAAAAGTTGCTATTGAATATCCACAGTGATTGGCAATATGGAAAAAAGGAGATAAATGAAAATAACTGGTAATTGAATTTTTGACATAATTATCATCTGATACTCACTTTGAATTATTTAAGGTTTACTTTCACATGATAGGAAGAATACTTGGAAAATAAACTGGTTTTTCCAGGAAAGCTTAAGAAATAAATTTGTCAAGCATCAAGGAAGCTACAACTTTCCCTACCTGTAAGTTGAATATGATTGTAGTACATAAGTATTTTAACATATAAAATTGTAGATTCCTCTAGCTGAAGTTGGAAACATGTCACATTTTAACCTTTTGAAAATTATCAAAATCTGGAGAAAACTGAGGATTCCTATATACTTTCCATTAAAAGTTAATCAATTTGTCTCACAATATTCCTCCAGATGGAGTTATTTTTGAGGATGAAATGATTGTAAAAAAAATCAAAATTCAGCTCAATTATTTTAAATTAATTAAATTTTCAGGTAAATAAATGGTTCAGAGAAATTTGTGGAACTGTGTAATTACTCAATACATGAATAGTGATACAAGAGGAAAAACATACACATTTTGTGGAGGAGGACCTTAGTAAAATTGGAAGGCACCCAATTTTTTCAGTGTATTATTTTCCTTAAAGTTGTATAGCTAGTAGTACAATAGTAAAATTCAAAGAAATATATTATGGATGATGATTTGTAAAGAATATTTCAAGAATATGTTACATTATCATTTCACTAATTGTAATGAGTATTGTGATTAAATTTGAAAATTATAAATTTGATTTTCTGAAAAAACTTTACTTCCTTATTGGTCTATAGGGGAATAAAAACAAGACTTGAAATCAATTCATTTTATTCAGTGGGAACAGTAATAGTGGAGCATTTGCTTATATTGGAAATAATTGAAAAGGTAACAACTTCTGTAAGTATTTCAAAGTATCTGTTTTTGTATATTGAAATTTGAAAACCTATAAGCTCTATGGCTAATCTGAAACAAAGTTATTATGTTTTGATGAAATAGGGCCAACTTTCCTATCAATAACAATTTTCTTGAGTAGGTATGAACATTGTAGGATACATTTCAAGCAATTTGATCATAAAAATAATTATCTGCCAGATTTTGTTCAATAGCTGCATTGCTAATCTGAAACTAAGTAATGTTTTGACTTGTGAAAAATAAAAATACTGATTTTTCATATAGAGTAACTTTCCTTTTTACAAATTTTCAAGTGCTGACTTATGTCAAGAGCTTCATTAAAGATGTATCTTTTCTATTTGTATCTTCTGGCATTGAATCATTGTTTCCATATTCTTGTACTTTTCCCCAAATTGTCTATAACCTAGATAGTATAAAGTTGATGAAATTCTGTTCACATTTGATGATGATTGGACTTTAATGGACTTGATGTATTTGTTCTTGGCCAGTATCATTTCAGACTACTTCCAATAATTTTTCTGAATGGTCTTGTGTCTGCCCTGCATCATAGTTTTCTTGAATTTCTGCCAGTTCCAGTGTGGGAATCGCAGTTTTTTTCAAAATCCTCTTCAAGGGTGAACCTGTAACAAAATGCATGATAGATACAACTGTTATCTGTAAATCAAGCATATAGTTTTGTGAGAAATGCAATCTTTACCTAATAATTCATTCTTCAAGTCTCTTTCATAATCTTCTATTGTGAAATAACAAGAACACATTCTACTTGAATCTGGATTGAACGTTGTTTTACTGCTACATCTGGTTATCCATTCTTGTCTGATGGTAACAAAACCAGGAAATCTATGAAAAATAATACCAGCACCTGCAGTTTTGGAATAGGCCATAAACAGCACAGCACATTCCACTCATTCCAGGCATTTTATTGGTTAATCTGTGAGAAATATACAACTGTAGGTATGTGTATTCATGTACAAGGATCACAATCAATACTCACAATGAAGTTGTTCTTTGCAAAGTACTTCACAGGCTGTAAAAATTCTCTGTATGCACTCAAATTCACAATGGTTAGGAGGCTTCCAAAGTCTCTTTCCTCTTTCTATAATCTGTAATTTGATGGTTGATAGCTGATGAGTGATCACTCATAAATAAAAAACATGAACAATTTCTCACAAATCACTCAAATCACACAAAGAAACCTTGGAAAGCTTTGAAAGATGTAACATTAGCGCGCGTTTGCTAAATATTTCAGCCATGTTTGTTTATGTTTTGTGTATTATTTCGACCAATAGGATCACGGCATGATCACAGAAAACAAAAGAGATGCGAAAGGCATCAGCATGACGTCACATTTTAGGGAATACATTGGAAGATAGGGATCTAGCACTCCTTCTCTGTATACTCTCCTTGTTTACATTCGGGTTGTTCGGATCCATAACCTGAACGTTCGGTTACCCAAACCGAGTTACCTACCTCTGTTCGGAAACTTGAATGATGCTAACCTCGATGCTAACTCGATCACTGATTTGGGTTGATTTTTCGTGACCCTACTCAAAAGCAGGGTCGCCAGAGTTGCAAAGGACACCGCATGCGCATCACGGAATTTAAGTCAATCAAAAAACGCAGGAGTTTACATTCGGCGATAACAATAATAATAAAATTATTTGCATGTTGGGAAAAATCACGACCGGTGATATACATGTTCTTTTCAATCTTCATAATTTGATTGAAGTAATTCATTGAGAAGAGAATTTGGGTAGGGATGAAGTTTGTGGTTATGTGCAACAACACATATGAGACAAGTACACCAATCCACAAGTAAATATAAATATTTGTAATCAGATCAAATAATTACTTGACTGTCAAATTCATGAAACCAGAGGAAAAATATATTTTTTTGTAATCGCTTGGAGCGCACGAAAGGGAATCCCTATAATGTTCAAAGAACATCGTGCGTTCCTAGGGAGGATAGGGACAGAAGGTAGGTATTGGAATTTTATTTAAATTTTGGAGATTATATGTTGTTGGGAATACTTCCACAGGCAATGCATTCCAGAGCCTAGCCGTTCTATGGATGAAGGAGTCTTGATAAAGTGCTGTTCGACATCTTTCGAGGTTGACAACGAAAGGATGTGCTGACTGGGCTTGTCTAGTTCGTCTGATTGGTATTGCTAGTGGAGAGATTTCCGAAGAACATTTCCCGTGGAAGTATCGATAGAAAAGTGAAAGGTCGCCGACCTTTCTACGGTGTTCCAATGATGTCAAAGAGTGAGTGAGTGTGGCGTCACCCACCAGGCGGATGGCTCTTCTCTAGATGGAATCTAAGAGCATCAGCGTATGTTTTGGTGCTGAACCCCATATGTGGGAACAGTAATCTAGAACAGGCCGTATCTGCGCATTGTTGATCATGAGAAGCTGTTGAGGTGTAAAGTAGCTTTTCGCACGAAACAAGAATCCGAGTTTTTATGAAGCAGCTTTTGCGATGGATCTGACATGATCATCCCATGAAAGAGTGTTGGTGATGGAAATACCGAGCATAGATATGGTGGGCTTGGTGGGGATGGTGGAGCCAGACATTACAATATCGGGCATACTGAGTTCCGCCTTTCTAGAGAAAATGCAGGCTTGAGTTTTGGTGGCGTTGAATTCAACTAGGTTGTTTGTTTCCCAGGCTGTGATTTTAGCAAGATCTTCATCGACAGCATCGACCTGCCTGCGCCGTGAGTTCTTAGTTTCCTAACCTGACACGTTCGTAAACGTTGAACACGAGTAGATGATCCGAGTTTTTTGTCGCGTGACCTATCTGGATCGAGTTATCAACCCAGAGTAAGTTTCCGAAAATGCCTATTGAGTTCATTGCGGGGTGGTGGGTTCAAATTCAAACTCTTGCGAGTACTGGATGGAACAGAATATGAAAGAGACCCTGCTAGCTATTGCCAATTACGGCTGAATTGATAAGCAAGATCCATGCGTGGATTTTTTTCCCGAAATACCAAATACAATATCTGTACAGCTACATTCCGCATAATATCACAGTTTCCGCACTGCTAGCTGCAAGCAATTGAATGGCGCAAACTCTGGGCTTAATCTCATAACCCTATCTCGAATCCTAATATCGCGTTTTCAGTTTTGCATTTCGTTTTAGATAAATCTTCCGCTCCCCAAACACGAGATCTTATAGTAGCTGCGGGCGGTGCTATATAGAAACAGCATACCTATCTGTAGAATCTGTGTCTGTAGTAGATTGCCAGTGCACTATCGATCGAAGTCGCGGTGGGTTATTATACCAGATTGGGAGCATGATGCTCGGATTTCATCCTATTAGAATATGAATTTAATACGTTCTAAGGTTTCAAATGGAAACATAATATACCTAACAGCGAAGCACCTTGAAGGAGACAGATTGGATTTTTTGTGAAGAATATGTACCGGGTGCAGAGCTGTCCCAAAGCAATGTGCTAAGTGCTCGTTAAAGCACTCAGAGCACTTTCATGCTCGTAAGCGCTGCACTTTTCTGAACCAGTGCTTAGTACTTCGAGCATTTTCATTTTCATGTTTCTACGAGAAGTAATAAGCCTTTCCATACTTACTACTTGTCGAAACATGAAACGTAGTACTTCCAGCCAAGATGAACTTTTTGTCGCTTCCATATATGCATCTTGAAAAAATCAGTCTTGTTTTGAATGAGGTGCGGAGGTGCGATAAATATATAGAGTGATATATTATGGGATGTTCCATTCAAATATTATACACTTTTGGCTGCTTCCTGTATATTTTTGCAGATAGTGAAAATGTATCTATTGATTCTATACAGAGTGTTGACAAATAAGTGTCACAACGGAAAACTGGTAGATTCCTCATAATAGAAGAAACATTTCTTTCCTCTTCAAAATTTTTTTCCGAGCTTCCGTTTTCAAGATACAGGGCGTCAAAAAATCAAAAATGTTCAGTTTGATTAAACACACTTTCACCACTTAATAAACTTAGCATTTGAAAACCAGCATCGAGACTAACATAGTTAAGCACCTGACATTTGATTGAACATATTATTAGACAGTTCTGAGGTGTTTATTTCCAGTGGATTTTCAGAAGATTTTTTGAAAAACCATCAAAATTTCATATAGAGCGATTTTTCGCAGAAACTGTTCACTTCAGAGCATTGAGACAAGTGGACGTTTTTTGTGTGAAAGATATTGGCGCTTCAGAATCTACTTTGGAAATTACAATTTCTCCAGTGGCATAACTGTTTAGGGGGTTAAACCCTTACGAGGCGTTGAATTCTCCTTCACTGACATGTCCAAGGAAATTGATCAAGAGCCCTAAAAGTAGTCATTATTGATGATTAAGTAAGGCTTAACTCCGTAGCTCAAACGGTAAAAGATAGTAGCAAAAACCAGTTTTTTTTGTATTTTTTCGACGCCCTGTATCTTGAAAACGAAAGCCCGGAGACAATTTTCAAGAGCCACAAAAATGTTTCTTTTATGAGGAATGTACAGTTTTTCGTTGTGACACTTATTTGTTAACACCCTGTATAGAATGAAAAAGAAATTTTTCGTTTTTTTCTCTCTTGTCAAAAATATGAGAATTATTGGGGGTGGTAACTTTATACAATACACAGTTTCTTTCTGTCAACCAGTCCGATTTCTTTCGTATTTCCCTATGTAAGCATCTTCAGGAAGAGAATAAACATAAATGAGGCGTCTAGAAGCATTACTCGTCTTGGATATACGGGAAATATTATTTTGGAAATGTTCACCATATCATATGTATTACATTTCACGATCCTCTGTAATTCTTTAGAAAAATAATTGATTTCGTCATTCTTGGAAATATCGAAATGTGGCCAGTACCGTACTCCAAAGAAGCTACAGTATAGTATTTATCAAAGAAAATTCTAAATACCTAACTCCTTGTATATTGATTGAATTACTACGACATGTTTTCCATGCATATTCACTATACTTAGTGGATTGCCCTACGAATTTCTCTGAGCGGTACCTTTCAAGGATTCCGAAATATTGGAATAAATCTGTGAAAAAAAAGGTTTTTTATCGCCCTCTCACGGCTCAACGGTGTATTTCCGTATACAGTTAGGTTGATCTCAATCAGTCTATTTTGGTGTCTAGTTCACCCTGTAAAGAACATGATGAATATAATGAATGTAAACTTTGTGAAAATTGACATTCAGACCACATTGATTCTTGTTTCTCTAAAGGCGACTCCAATTGTCAAAGTTTGTCTACAGACCTACACGTTCCTTAGTAGTTATCTCGGGACTTCAACTCGGTTATCTGCTTGCAAACAGTCGAAAAGTTGGAACTGGAGCTCCATCAAGATGGACTAGTATTCTCCTAAAGTTTCGGTGATACGTTACCAAAGTTTGGCTTCCACAGCGAACGAACGATGTTTGTAGGTCAAAAAAGTACTCGATTCGACGTGTATCCATCGACTTTTCAGTATCTTAAATTCGGTAGTGTCAACTACTAGAGTATAACAAATGATGGTGTGTCACTGGAGGAAAGATTTCAACCAGCATTCTTTCTCAACTCAAGTTTTCGTTGGTTAACTACAGGGATTTCGATAACAGGCTGATGTTTGTGTGAATAATGTCAATCCGTATAGGTATAGATAGATGTTTATTTGACCAGGTTACAAAATACATTTGTTTTCGGCAAGTCAATTGTGGAAGCATAGAATGATAAAATACACACACATTACAGTAAATTCAATAAAATTATAAATTAATATTTTTCAAAGCCAAGACAATATAAACCATGTTTTGAATTCAAGAATTTGGTACAGCGGTTTCCTTGCTAACTGTGGTTATCAGATTCAAAAAATGGCGTGTGGAAATATTCTTCGACTGTATGAAAACAAAGAACTAAAATATGTTTCTTAATTGCGGACTTGAATGATTTCGCATTTTCACCCAATAACCTTATACCACTAGGGAGACGATTGAATGAATTGAGATCTAGTGAGTTTTTTGTTGACTTTGCCAGCCTGTGATTTAGTACTCTTAAGATGATTGGCATTCCTTGTCATATAGTTATGGACATCTGAATTTGTCACGAGGTTCGTTCAATTCCTATTAATTTCCAACAGTGAAACAAAAATATATAATGATGGAAGAGGCATTATATTCAAACTTCTAAAGATTGGTTTACAGTGGACTCTGAAACCATCACCGGCTACGATCCTGACAGCACGTTTTTGCAAACGAAAAATGTTTTCAGCATGACAAGAGTTACCCCACAACATCGTGCCGTAACTGAGATGAGAATGAAATGAAGCGAAGTAACATGATCTCATAGTTTCTCTGCTTATCTGCTTACTCAAATTGCGTAGCACGAATATTGTGCTTGCGTAGCACGAATATTGTGTTTTCGGGATAATTCATGACAAGACCA